CCACCTAGACTTCTTAAGAAAGATCACATGTTGAAGGCAATTCTGTACTAATGAAACCACACTAGGGATGTCATGGCTGATCTTGGCAGGTGGATCTTGGCTGAAAGCTATGGTGCTTGTGCTTTCTTGACTATGTCAAGGCCTTCGGCTGTGTGGACCACAGCCATCTGTGGATGGACTTGAGAAGAATGTGAATGTCAGGACACTTCATCGTGCCCGTGCGGAGCCTGTGCACGGATCAAGAGGCAGTAGTGTGAACAGAACAAGGGACTACTGCCTGGCTTACAATCAAGGCAGGTGCACACCCTATCTTTGAGAGGGTGTATCTTCTCACCATCCTTGTTCAATCTGTAGGCCAAGCAAACCCTCAGAGAAGCTGGACCGTGTGAAGAAGAATGAGCACCAGGATGGGAAGAAGGCTTTGCGACACAACCTTGCTTGCTGAAAGTGACGAGGAATTGAAATACTTGCTGATGAAGATCAAGGCGTATAGCCTCCTCACCACTAGATCAGTTGGTCAAACTGAGATCAACAGAGAAAAGAGTGGACTCGCCAAGAAGCTCACGTTGCTTGGATCCACAATCGATGCTCACAGAAGCAGCAGTCGGGAGATCAAACGGCGCATTGCATTGGATAAATCTGCCACATAGGACTTCTTTCAAGTGTTGAAAAGCAAAGATGTTACTTGGAGGACTAACGTGCGCTTCACACAAGCCAGGGTATTTTCCACCACCTCATGCCCATGACAGGCGGGCACTGAAAAAGGCAGACGGGGGAAGAATCGATGCATTTGAATGAAGGGACTGGCAGAATCTTGAAAATATCGTGGACTGCCAAAAAAGCCATCTGCTTGGAACAAGTCCAGCCAGAGGGCTCCTCCGAAGCAAGGATGATGAGACCAGCCCCTGGGGAAGGGCATCACGCTTGGGACCGGGCAGTGTTTCCTTGTTTTGTACATGGGTCAGAGCGGACTCGATGGAACCTAGCACCACCAACAACGATGACGCTGACAACATTTGGTTTAAGGCGCCCTGGTGTAGAGGTGACTCATTGAGCTTCTAACCCCGAGGTCAGTGTTTTGAACTCACCAACCACGCTGTGGGAGAAAGATGAGGCTTTTTGTTCCTGTAAACATTTAAAGTCTCAAAACCCCAAGGGGCTGTACTATGCTATAAGTCAGAATCCATCTGATCACAGTGGGTTGGCGGGCTGGTTGTTGCTCTTGAGAAACACTTCAGGGGAGTCTTTTGGTTGAAGGAGTAAAGATTACCTCAGGGCAACAATTTCAGGGATTTATCCAGTATCAATAACTCCCAATGATCAGTGTTCCACAAATTTCCTCCTTTTGATCGGAATTCTTCTATAGACTCTTAGGAGATTCCTAATCTTTGTTGGACCTCGGACCCTTTTCAGAGCTGATTAAATAGGAACACAACCTTTTGCATACATCAGAGGATGTATGAAGCAAACCCAAAGAGGGCCCTTGGCCCTCTCTCAGCACATGGACGACCCTCCAAGGTGAGACGATAACAAGTAAGGATGGGCCTTATGACAATGGGCAGGGCTCTGCTGTTGGCTTTTCCGCTGCTGACTTGTCTGTGACCATGGCAAGCATAAGGCCAGCTACCCTGCCGACTGGTGTCCCACCTCTGGTAGGTGTGCAGAAAGCCAGCACCCCAATTTGAGAGCAAGTTCTAAAGTCACATTATTCAGGGACCTACAAGTCCCTGGGTAGAGTACACCATGGTCAAGGTGCTCAGCTACTCCCCTAAAAGTTGGCGGTGCGCTGGAGGAAAGGACTGGCAGCCGGCTTCTGAAAACTGAGTTCTTGAAAACCCTACGGAGCATAACTCTACGCCGCACCCATGGGGCTGCTATGAGCCGGCATCAGTGGCAGGATTCTTGCCTTCCCTGTGGGAGACCCTGGTTCAGTTCCCACCAATGCTGCTCACACACTGCCACCACCTCTGTCGGTGGAAGCTTCCGTGGTGCTGAACAGGTGTCAGTGGACACATGGACTCAGAAGAACGGCCTGGAAATCTACTTCCAAAAACCAGCCAAGGGTTTGGTTCTGAACAGTCTGATCTATAACTGATCATGGGGTGGGCGCAGCACTGGGCAGCACTGTGTTCCAGTATGGGCCGGGGCACCCTGAGCATGGAGCCAACTGGATGGCAGCTTCTTTCACCTACTGACTATACCCAAACTCCCTTCCCAACGTCAGCGTGTTCCAGGTCCTGGTCCCGTCTCCCTCTCCTAAAACCCACCTTCACCCCCCCGTCCTCCTCCTTCCAGCTCTGAGGGGCTCTGCAAGTATATCCTGAAATTCTCCGACCACAGACCTCTCTCCCTGGGATGCCCTGCTTTCCTGGGGGGCACCCCACCAAGAGAACCTGCTTGTAGTGTGGAGCTCCCACTCTCAAAGTCCAGGTGAGGGCAGGTGTCCAAGGTTGGCGGGGGACAGTCACGTCCACTGTCCTTTCCTGTTTCATGTTTTCCAGGCACACGCTCATCCAATCACTGTTGAGGACGTACTGTGTGGGAGGAAGCCCAGGCTTTCTACTCAGTAAAGCGTTACAGTCTCAGGAACCCTCAGGGGCAGGTCTAGCCTGCCTGACAGGCTCACTATGAGTCAGAATCCACTCGAGTCAGTGAATTTGGTTTTGAGTTTACTGTGTACCAGGCACTTTGCAGGTAGCCCCTTGGGTGGCCTTGGCTTGGCTCCTTGGCTCCTCAATCGGCCGTAAGCAAGCAGCGGGAAGGAGCTAGGCTCCAGTTCACTTTGTGCCCAGCGTCCCCACCCAGTGCCTGGCATGCAGGTCCCCAACACCTGGTGAACAGATGGGTGTTCCTGTCAAACTGCCCACCGCTGTGGGAGAAACTGTGTGTGGGGTGGGGAGGGGGAAACTCTATCACTGACACCAGAAGCGCACTGGTGAGTCTCTTGGTGGCTCACGCAGTTAACGTCCTCAACTGTTAACCCAAAAGTTGGGGAGTTGAGTACCCAGAGGTCCCTTGGAAAAAGGTTTGGCCATCTAGTTTGTTTGTTGTTTAAATTAGCTCCTGAGCCCCCACCCCCATCATGGAGCACAGCTCTCCAACACACATGGGGCTGCCATGGGTTGGTGTGAATGACACGGTGGTGACTGGTCCCTTCTACTGTCTCTTCCAACTGAAGCCACAGGTGGAAACCCAGCCACCCTGCAAACACTCACGGGCTCTCCAGCTGACCAGTGACATGCCCTTGGACAAATGACTTCACCTCCCTGGATATGCAAAATGAGGATGATGGGGACGAGGTCACAGACTTCAAAGGCCTTCATGCCATAAGGAGCCCCGTGCCCAGAGGCTGGCACAAGGGTGGATGCTGAGCAAACCTTAGTGACTGTCCCTGCTGGTAAGGCCATTTCAGGTTTCTGGTCCTTATGCCCAGCACTGTAACGAGCCCATAATCAATGCCACATTCCTGGTAGCGGCTCCTGACCACAGGTATCCCTGGTAAACAAACAAGGCCAAGATTCTTTACAGACTGTGCCTATAGGTGCTGAAAAGCTCTCTTGTTTATTTTGCCCAAATACCACAGCAACTCCGGATGCTCCAGACATCTCAGGGGGGCAGCGGATCAATTTACTTTGTAACCAAGGCAACCCTGATTGGAGGGAGCCAGAGGGGAAGGCAGAGGCAGGGACATTGTGTGACTGCTAAAGTCACAAGCACACTAATATCACACCCACATGGCAGTGTCTATTAGCATGGGCTTGGGAACTAGAGGCCCAAAGAAACCCCAGCAGAGAGAGAAAAAGGCCAGCATTTCTCAGTGGAGTAATCAGCGTGGAGGAACACTTGTGAGCAGGCTGCCAAGGAGGATTACCCGTGTGGCCAAGAACCAGGTGGGGAGGGGCACTGTGTCCTCTCACACTGGTGTCTGGGGGCTTGGGCTACCCACATTCTGAGCTGGCTGGGACTTTTGAGGCTCGGGTGAAGTTTGGGGAAGGGGAACGTGTTGTTTGCAACCCAGATCCTCCAGAAAGACAATAGCAGGAGGTGCCCCCACCTCACACCCAGGCTCAAGGGGACCTCCCTGCTGCCAATGTACCCAGCCCTGTAGAGGTGGGAGGCTGGAGTATGATCTGATGAGACTGACCGACTGGCTGACCTAGACCTAATGCGTATCTTTTCTAGTGCGACTGTTATCAGTGCGGAGGAGGGGTGGGAGGGTGTCGGTGGTGGGCGGGTCAGCTCCAGAGAGCAGGGTTCGCCTTTGTTCTAGCTAACCAGCGACAAGGTGCCCACAAAAAGACCAGCCAGAACTCGAAGGAGAATTCAAGGGGGGGTTCAACTGCCGCTGGAGCCCAAACTATGAGAGGCCCCTCCTCCGCCCTGCCACTGGGCGCCTGCTTTGTGTCCAGGAGAGAGTTATGGCCAAGCTGGAAGAGGACAGGAGGCGATACAGACTGAGCACAAAGCCAAGCAGACGAAGCCACCGCTGCGCGCCGGCGCCGGCGGCCCCAAAGAGGGTCTCTGATCTTCCTGGCCCCGCTGCCAGGGTGGCAGGGCCGTGGGCCCCCACTTTCTGGGGAGAAAAGTGGGGCTCGCCGAGGTGGGGGGGCTGCTTGGCGCGAGGTCACCAGCTGATGACAGATTGCCACCGAGACCGAGCGAGTGGGGAGAGGTTACCCGCCCACCGGAATGGAGCGGGTCTGGGCTGCCTCGGCCTAGGAGCGCTTGGGGACTCGGGCGGGGACGCCGCGCGGGCGGTGCTCAGGCGGAGCGACTCGGGGTGCCAAGACCCCTGGCAGTGTCTGCAATCCAGCTCTAGAGAAGGGCCCAGGCGGGAACAGAGGGACCTGCCAGCAAGCAGGGAGCTCAGCCGCGGCCGCTCACCACCCCGCACCCCGGGGAGCCGCGCCCGCCGCCCCTCCCCTCCTCCGCCCCGACGCACGTCCCGGGAGCCTCCCCAAACTTGGTGGCCCGGGGTGCGCGGGAAGGGGCCGGGTTACCTGCGCGGCCATAAAGGACAGATCCATGGTGTCGCTGCTACTGCGGCTGCTGCTGCCGCCCGCGCTCGTGTCCTCGCTGCCGCCGATCCAGCCGCCGGCACAGCTGGCCGGGCGCGGGCCCCGCGGCGGCACCCACCTCACCAGCCCCGGCGTGGCGGCGCCCAAGGCTGCTTCGGGCTCGGGCTCCAGACAGCGACTGGATGGCGGGGCGGGGCGCTGGGGACAGGGCGGGGCCGGGGCGCCCCTGCACGTGACCGCCCAGCCCCACCTCCGGGGGCGGGGCCCCGCGGAACCCCTTGGGGCTCTGCCAAGGCAAACTGAGGCCCGCGGAGGCCCCGGGGTTCTCCCGAGGTCGCCCTATTGGTCCACGCAAGGCCAGCCTCGAACTCCAGACCCGCGCTGTCGATGTCGGCCCTGCGTAGTTGCGTTTAGCCGCAGGGGTCGAGAACACAGCCTCCCTGGGCCTGGCTGGGGTGACTCCTGCGAAGACCAAGGCCTGGGGGCCTTGGGTTCACGCTGGGTGCTGAAACTGGGCAGAAGGAGGGTCCAATGCCCGCCCTGCTACCCGTGGGGGTGGGGGTGGGGCTTGGACAAGTTATCTGCCTCCTTGAACCTGGATTTATTTCCCTATCAGTGAAAAGAGGAGAACTGAACGTGGGGGTTAAATGGGATCATGCCTCTCTCGAGGTGACTTAGTGAGTTATGCATGAGCTGGTGACTGCAAGGTCATCAGTTCGAAACCACCAGCCGCTCCTCTGGAGAAAGACGAGGCTTTCTACTCCTGTGAAGAATGACAGTCTCAGAAACCCACAGGGGCAGTTCTACCCTGTCCTGTAGGGTCCTTATGACTCAGAATGGCTTCAATGGCGGTGAGTTTGGATTTTGGTTTGAATGTATCTGCCACGTGAGATGGCTACCGGTGAGCTTCCCTCCACTCTAACTCCGGGAGACTTGGGCAGTTGAAAGAGGCGTAAATGGAGCAGGGGGACGAGAACAAAGAGAATTCCAGAATGAGGAACCAGGAGATGAGCAAGAACCAGCAGAGTGGAGGAAGTGACCGTGGTTGAGTGTGGTCAGCACGGAGAATACTAGGGATGGCCAAGGGATACAGCCAGAGGGCCCACTGGTCTGGGCCAGGAGGTTGCTGGTATGATCCAACTGATGGGTTGCTTTATAATATACAGTATTGCATTATGAAATATCACATGGTTTTATGTTACATTGTAGTGCATTCTGGAAGAATACAGAAGAACACCGGCCCTACCTACCAACGCCAACCTATTTAATCACGAATAATGGCTCCATAACAGCCCCTGGACAAGCGTTTGGACAAATTCCTGAAGACCACAACCTAGCCAAGTGGACACATGAAATTAACCACCACCACAGCCTCCTAAGGGCACGTGGGGGACCAGGCATCCACATTCACCCAGTAGGTGCAAGAATCAAGCTTCAATTTTCTCATTTCCTCACACCCTTTTGTCCATGCAAGTATCCCGAGGTGAGCCCTTCCTCTGAAGTCCACTGTGAACCCAGCCCAGGCTTCTCTCCATCGCCATCTCCAGGCTACTACCCTAGTCCACTGCCCTCGCCTGTGCTGGGAAAGAGCCACACCTCAGAGACCCGAGCACCCCTGCGCCATCAGCAACTTGAGCAGCGATCCCAGGTAGTTGCAGAAGCACCCCAACCATCTTCTCACTGACACTGAAATGGCATCAGAGCCTCTGCTGTGCCCACAAAGCCCCAGAGGACCTCACTGCTCCCGGCCCCCTCGCTGGTTCTGACCACAGCCCTCCTGTCTCCTGGGGGCCTGCCTCTCTCCCTCCCCAGAACACACCACCACGCTTGCTTCCACTGCAGGTGCTTAGGCTTAGCTCGGCTTGGTGCTGGCTTTCCTCCAGGTCTTTATTCTGCGTGCTCAGGCGTCCTTCATGTTCCCTCA